CAACGTGTGACGTGTGACGTGTGACATGTTCCTGGTGACAGTTCTTGTACCAATGTGTGACGTGTGACATGTTCCTGGTGACAGTTCTTGTACCAACGTGTGACGTGTGACGTGTGACATGTTCCTGGTGACAGTTCTTGCACCAACGTGTGACGTGTGACATGTTCCTGGTGACAGTCTTGCACCAACGTGTGACGTGCGACGTGTGACATGTTCCTGGTGACAGTCTTGCACCAACGTGTGACGTGTGATGTGTGACATGTTCCTGGTGACAGTCTTGCACCAACGTGTGACGTGTGACATGTTCCTGGTGACAGTTCTTGCACCAACGTGTGACGTGTGACGTGTGACATGTTCCTGGTGACAGTTCTTGTACCAACGTGTGACGTGTGACGTGTGACATGTTCCTGGTGACAGTTCTTGTACCAACGTGTGACGTGTGACATGTTCCTGGTGACAGTTTTTGCACCAACGTGTGACGTGTGACATATGACATGTTCCTGGTGACAGTTCTTGCACCAACGTGTCACGTGTGATGTGTGACATGTTCCTGGTGACAGTCTTGCTCAAAGCTTACCGGTACAACTTACTTTTTACTTACTGGAAATTCCTGCATAATATACTTGTGTTATACTTTTATCATATTTACTTAATGACAATTTTATTATTTTGACATTTTGTATATGTATATATTAGATGATGTGTGCTTAGTAACAATACAAACAATAATGTTTGTGTGTGTGTGTGTGTGTGTGTGTGTGTGTGTGTGTGTGTGTGTGTGTGTTATGGTGTGTCTCCCACCTCTACTCACTGGCTCAGGCTGATCATATTGCTGACGATATTGCTGACGATATTGCTGACGATATTGCTGACGATATTGCTGACAATATTGCTGCCATAAGAAGCACACAGAACATATTTATTGTGACCTATTTCTGTCCGTATAACGCGGTATCTTCATATCGTGTTTGCCGAGTATTTTTGTCCTGACAACATGGATTGTTTTTTCTTTCCTCATGTTGTCATAATGCTGAGCATGATATTGACGGCCTCACAGTGCGGAGGTTTCAGTTATCCGGAGTAATCTGATAGTCCAGATATGGGATATTCGGACCACTTGCTACCGAATGTATAAGACATCATTATGATCCGTACAGTCTGAGGTCATGTTTTCCTGGGCTCCCAATACTTCCGGATTCTTTAACTTACCCGGTGGACACCTATGATAGTACGAGTAGATGTATGACCTGTGATTGTAGATGTATGACCAGTGATTGTAGATGTATGACCTGTGATTGTAGATTTACGACCTGTACGACCTGTGACTCAAGTGCTAATTCTACATGGTCGCTTTGAAGCACAAGGGG